TAAATAAATAAATAGATTAAAAGTGAATTGGGAGAAATCCAAATGTATTTCATCAAATCATTCAGAAAGAGACTGGGAGGAATTGAAAAAAGAATTTAAAGATAAAATATAATATAATTGCATTTTTAGGAATTTGCATTACATGGAATTTACAAGATATAATTAAATTAAATACGGACCCATTGTAGAAAGAAAGTAATGAACAGGGAAATCAATATCAAAAATTAGCACTGTCATGGTTTAGTGGAATAGTGTTGTGTAAAATGGAGATTATCCCTAAATGTAACTGTGTATTTTGGATGCTCCCAATATAGAGCAAAGGAAAATACTTGGAAAATTGGCAGAGGTTAAAAAATAATTATTGTAATAGGAATGAGCGAACAAGGATCCACATGAGGCTATAGTAGATTCCATAAAAAGGAGGAGGGCTTGGATGACCTAATATTAAATCATACGACATCACAAACCAATTTAGATATTTATCAGATAATATAGTAAAAATATAAACCTAATATGGAAGGAACTGGAAATGCCAGAATACCCTGATAAAATTGAAGGCTTCTTCTTTAAAGAAAAAAATTGTAGAAGAAATCAAGAGAATAACTAACCCCTTTCTGATAAATCATAGAAAAATGATGTTGGAAGAGGGCCTACAAGGCCATCCAGTTCAACCCCCCCCCCACACACACACACAGCTCAAGGCAGGAATCCGAATCAAAGCAGATCTGCCAGGGGATTATCTAAGTTTTTCTTGAATGGACCCAATGTTGGAGCACTCACTAACTCCCAAGGCAACTGGTATCGCCAATTATTTCCCTCCTGAAAATAATTAAGAATGACCACTTGTGAAAAGATCAGAAAGAGTTAGTTTTTATAATGGTTACAATGGCAAGATTAATATTTGCAAAAGGTTTCATTTGTATTGTGTGTAGTTGTTATGGAATTTGTACTTTAATTTAGTTTTGCTACTTGTCATTTTCCAAAAATAAAATAAAAATTAATTTTTATTTTAAAACCCCTGCATCTTCGTAGGCTCCCTGCTTGACCATCCTTCCCTCTGGCTGTCTGGTGGCGCGTCAGTTCAGAAGCTTTGCTTCTCTCTCTTTGCAGGATCTGGTCCAAAGAGCGTCCCAGACCCCAGCCCGCTCAGGGGAGGGCACCTGCTCTTTTGAGGAAGGGCCACAGGTGAGTCACCTGAGGAGCAAGCAGATCCCCTTCTGGGCTCCTTGGCCAGGGCTAGGGTTGGGGGGCAGGCAGAAAATTAAAGCACATTCACATTGATTTGAAGAAATAACTAGATTAAAAGTGAATTGGGAGAAATCCAAATGTATTTCATCAAATCATTCAGAAAGAGATCAGGAGGAATTGAAAAAAGAATTTAAAAATAGAATAGAAAGGATAATTGCATTTTTAGGAATTTGCATTACATGGCATTTACAAGACATAATTAAATTAAATATGGACCCACTGAAGAAAAATTAATGAACAGATAAATCACTATCAAAAATTTACACTATCATGGTTTGGTAGAATAGTGTTGTATAAAATGAAGATTATCCCTAAACTGAACTGTGTATTTTGCATGCTCCCAATAGAGATCAAAGGAAAACACTTGGAAGATTGGCAGCGATCAGAAAAGATCAGAAAGAGTTCGTTTTTATAATGTTTACAGTGGCAAGATTAATATTTGGGGGGGGAGGAAAAGGGACAAACAAACTAATCTTGAAGTCTTGTACAAAGCAATGTGGAGCTTAGCAATTAATGATAAGTGAACATGTGAAATGAAAATAAGAAGCAGAATGGTAAAAGCAAATGATTTCAAAGAGGTGTGGAAATTATTTGAATACAGTGGTGCCTTGCTTTACGATTGCCCTGCATTAAGACGAATCCGCTTTACGACGATCTTTTTGCGATCGCAATTGCAACCACAAAACGATGGTCTGAATGGGGGAATTTCGCTTTGCAATGATTGGTTCCCTGCTTCGGGAACCGATTCTTCGCAAAACGATGATTTTTCAACAGCTGATCGGCAGTTTCAAAATGGCCGCTGGGTAAATAAAATGGCTCCCCGCTGTGTTTAAATAAAATGGCTCCTCGCTATACAGGCAGCGAAAATGGCCGCCGTATGGAGGATCTTCGCTGGATGGTGAGTTTTAAGCCCATTGGAACGCATTGAAAGGTTTTCAATGCATTTCAGTTGGCTTTTTATTTTCGCTTTACGATGTTTTCGCTTAACGGCGATTTTCCTGGAATGGATTATCGCCATTAAGCAAGGCACGACTGTACAGTATGTCTTTTCTAAGGGGAAAGGCCAGCAGAAGAATCCATGTACAGTATTCCCTCTGGCTGTCTGGTGGCGCGCCTGTTAAGAAGCTTTGCTTCTCTCTATTTGCAGGATCTGGTTGAAGGAGCATCCCAGACCCCAGACCGCTCAGGGGAGGGCACCTTCTCTTTTGAGGAAGGACTGCAGGTGAGTCACCCTGGAAGGGAGTTCTGTGGCTAGGGGGTGGGGGGGGGAAGGGATGTTCCGTCACATCTGGGGACAGTTCCTTTTCTGGGCTCCTTGGCCAGGGCTAATGTTGTTGTTGTTGTTGGGGGGGCATAGTGGGGGAAGAGAGGGCCCAGTTCTGGTTGGTTGACTAGTGGCTCGAGGTGTCTCCCTTGAAAAGCCTTGCCTGGGTAACAAGGCTGAGGGATCTGGATGGCCCCCATTCCCATATTTAAACATGCAGGAACTCCTTCATACTTGCAGGTTTTCCCCATACTTTGCAATCCTCAAAGGACCTCATAGAACCATAGAAAAAGGGAAGTTGGAAGGGGCCTACAAGGCCATCAAGTCCAACCCCCTGCTCAGCGCAGGAAGACCATCATAGCAGATCTGCCACGGGATGATCTAAGTTCTTGAATGCCTTCAGGGTTGGAGGGCTCACCACCTCCCCTTGAGGTAACTGTTTCCACTGTCATGCTGCTCTAACAGTTAGGAGGTTTTTCCTGATATTCAACTGAAATCTGATTTCCTTTAACTTGAGCCCGTGGTTGCCTGTCCTGCACTCTGAAATGACCAAGAACAGATCCAGACCCTCCTCTGGAAGACAGCCTTTCAAGTCTTCGAAAAGTGCTCTCCTCTCTCCCCTCAGTCTTCTTTTCTCAAAGCTAAACCTGCCCAATTCTTTCAGCCTTTCTTCCTAAGGCTTGCTTTCCAGCCCCCTCCCCGATCCTCCTTCTTGCCCTCCCTCTGAACTTGTTCCAATTGGTCAGCATCCTTCTTGAAGTGGGGTGTCCAGAACTAGACACAGTGCTCAAGGTGATGCCTAACCAGTGCTGAATAAAGGGGGAATAGCACATGGTGGGATTTGGAAACTATACTTCAATTAATGCAGCCTAAAATAGCATTTGCCTTTTTTGTAGCCACATCACACGGTTGGCTCATCTTTAGCTTGTGATCTATGATGATTCCAAAATCCTTCTTGCTTGTAGTTTTGATGAGCTAGGTCTCCTCCATCTTGTAACTCCAATTGGTTTCTTTTTCTGAGGTGCAGGACTTATCCCTGCTGAATTTCATTCAGTTGCTTTCAGTCTAGTGCTCCATCCTACCAAGGTCATTTTCAATTTTGTTTTTGTCTTCTAGGGTATTAGCTATTCTGCCCAATTTGGTGTCATCTGCAAATTTGACAAGCATTCCCTCATCCAGCTCATTAATAAAAATATTGAAGAGCCCTAGGACTGAGCC